TATACCTTTATTCAGCTTTCAAAAAAACTCACACCCTATTGTTGCCATGGAATATTAATAATTCATTTAGATAGTGAGCTGAATAAATAATAATAATGAGAGGATTACGTTTCTAAGACAGTAGTTGGACAAAGACTGAGCATTCTATGATTCCTTCAGTGCATTTTCATTTTCAATATAATAAAATAAAGGGCCATGACAGTTTACAAATATAAAACCATACACTTTGGGAAGAAAAACCTAAAACTTAGATAGCCAACAGTAAATCTCATAATCAAGTTTTAAATTATAGCCTAAGGGGCTGGGAATGTGGCTCAAGTGGTAGCGCGCTCCACTGGCATGTGTGCCGCCCGAGTTCGATCCTCAGCACCACATACAAACAAAGATGTTGTGTCTGCCAAATACTAAAAAATAAATATTTAAAAATTCTCTCTCTCTCTCTCTCTCTCTCTCTCTCTCTCTCTCTTTAAAAAAAAAGAGGCTAGACAAGTGCAGAGGTGCATGCTTATAACCTCAGCAACTGGGTAGGCTGAGGCAGGAGGATAGCAAATTCAAGACCAGCCTCAACAACTTAGCCAGACCCTATGTCAAAATAAAAAATAAAAAGGGCTGGGGATGTCACTCAGTGGTAAAGCACTCTTGGGTTCAATCACCAGTATTGCCCTCTCTCTAAAAAAAGAAGAGTTTATTCTCCCTAAAGGCTATTTCTCACTCCCAAATCCTGAGGTAGCAATAACAATCAAGGAATACAGTCAGGATTGGAAATTAATTGGCTAGGTTTTTTTTACCTCCTACTGCTCCAGGCAAGACTTTATTTCCTTCTTTCTTTATTTTATATAAGCACCTTCCCTCATCATTACTTTACCTACAGCATTCATATACTGATATAAAATTGATTCACTTCTGACCAGATTCTGGCTCTAAGTATTAAGTCTTTCCATACTCCATATTTCTTCATATTTCACCAGGAGGATTATAAACTTATTTGAAATGGTAGATATTTATTTTTGCTTTAAATTTATCATTCTACTGTATGCTTCTCAGAAGCTGTGCATAATGAGAAGTGAGAGCAGCAACCTGGCCTGATGCCTAGCTAGGAGCAGAGAAGTTCACCTAAAAAGGACCTGATACTCCAAATTCCAAAAACTGGAAAGGAAAATGGAAGTAGGGGAAGGAATATCTGGAAAAAAGCCCATGGTATAATGAAGAAAACAAATTCAACCTGAAGGTGGGACCTTTTGCCTAGCCTCTGTCAATTTGATGCCTCATTCTCTTCTCCATCTTCCCTAACCTCAGGATATTCCATTAGAAAACAGGTGGGAAAACCACCTAAGAAAGCAAGGTAATACAAAAACTTTTGAAGGTGAAGTCAGGAACTAAGGGGCAGAGGCTGGAGTACAGGACATTTAGTACAGGTTCACTGGCTAGAAATGTGAGGGTTGGGTAGACAGTTACCTATATCTCTACAGTACTAAACATACAATCCTGTCATGTCGTCCTTACCTTCAACTGTTCCCTATCTCAGGCAAATTTCTTTCTACTGTTACCCTTCCTCCATGCACACTACACTCATATCAGCCAGAATCACTTTCTATTCTCCAAACATACACACTGTTAAGCTTCTAAGCCCCTGAACATGCCCATGCTGTTCCTACTTGGTATGTCCTTCTCTCACTGCACTCAGAAAACTCTAGTGTTTCTTCATGACTCAGGTCTCTGATATCTTCTCTGATGGCCCATCAGCACAGCCACTCTATACAAATCTTTCCTTTGTTGTTTATCCCAAAAGTGCTTAAGAGTAAGCCTCCAAGGTTAGAGAGAAATGAGTATGAATCTTGGTTATACAATTTACTAGCTGTGCAACTATGGTACCAGCCTGAAAGATGTCCCCCAACAATCCTGACCTTCTGATATTTGCATCCATTGTCTCAGTATGTTTTGTGTTGCCACACAGAATATCACAGACAGGATAATTTATAAAGAAATAAATTTATTTCTCACAGTTATAGAAGTTGTGAAGTCTGATATCAAGATGCCAACATATGCAAAGGACCTTCAATGCATCATTCTATTGTGAAAGATGAAAAGGCAAGAGCATGCACACACAGAGATGAATGCACATAAACAAAAATATACATGAAAGAAAAAGAGAGGAGGAGGAACAGAAAGAGACAAAGAGAAGGGGACGGAGGGAAAAAGTGAATGAATTCACTTTCAAGCCCTTTTATAATCAGCATTAATCCATTCATATAGGGGGAGCCTCATGACCTAAACACTTCTCATTAGGACCCACCTCCCTACATTGTTGCATTGGGGATTAAGTTTCCAACATATGACCTTAGGGAGACACATTTAAACCATAGCACACTCCTAGAGTCCCTTCCCAAATGTATCAGAGTTGGTCCATATGACTCAAAGAAATGATATGTCATGTAGGAGTAAATTAGAAAAGATACTTTGGCTTTCCATCTTGGGCTCTCACATTCCTTTGCTTTCTCTCTTGGATTACTTGCTTTGAAGAAAGCCAGCTACCATGTTGAAAAACCCAATAGAGAGGTTTCAGGTGGTGAAGAACTAAGGCCTGCCAATAACCATTAAGTGAGCTTGAAAGCAGTTTCTCCAGACCAGAAAAACCTCAGATGACTATAGCCCCAGCTAACACTTTGATTCAAACACTATAAAAGACTCTGTGCCAAGCCTCTCTATCTAAACTTTTGGATTGGTAAACCACTGAAACAGTAAGACAGTGAACATTTGTTTTAAACCACTAGGTTTTTAGGATAGTCTGTTATACAGCAATAGCTAACTAATACTCTTGGAAGGAATGGTAACAGCCCAAGAAAATTTGGTTCAACTTCAGGCAATGGTGCTTACTAACAGAAGACCCCTGGGAAAAACACCTAATCTCCTGAGCCACAGTTTCCTACTTGTACAATGAGAAAACTGGAGCTACAGTGATCTAACCAACAAAGTAAATAGCATATCCTAAAACTAGAACATAAGCTAATCTCCAGGCATAGCGACACAAACATAATCATAGGAACTTGGGAGGCTAAGGCAAAATGATCAAAAGTTCAAGGTCAGCCTCAGCAACTTAGTGAGACCCTATCTCAAAATAAAAAATCAAATGGGCTGGGGATGTAGCTCAGTGGTAAAGTGCCCCTATTTTCAATCCCCAGAATAAAAACAAAGGAAAAAAAAGATAATCAAAGAGGAATAAAGTTTACAGCAAAAATAAAGCTACTCCTTAAGAAACTAAGGTTCATCTAAATAAGCAGTAAGTTCTTCCGGTAAAGGTTATAAAGTAAATAAATAAAAGCTTCCTTGGTCTTTGAATTGAAATTAAGGACCAGACTTACTACTACTACTACTACTACTACTACTACTACTACTACTACTACTACTACTACTTTTTAAGTCATAGATGGACACAATTCTTTATTTATTTTTATGTGGTATTAAGAATTGAACCCAGGGGACTGGGGATGTGGCTCAAGCGGTAGGCGCGCTTGCCTGTCATGCGTGCGGCCCAGGTTCGATCCTCAGCACCACATACAGGGATGTTGTGTCCACCAAAAAATAAAAATATTGAAAAAAAAAAAAATTGAACCCAGTGCCTCACATGTGGTAAGCAAGCACTCTACCACTGAGCTACAACCCCAGCCCCAGACTTACTTCTAAACACCCAAAACACGTGGAAAAAATGCAAAATGCAAAATACTTATCTATAAGTAAAATTTATATCATTACTCTAAAACTAGTAAAACAAGACTATACAGTCTACATGCAATCTAAAAAAATGGAGATCTGCTCTATGTAAACCCCTTTATATCTCTCTCTAGATCCTAGACCTGGCACAGGAATAAGTACACAGAACTTGAGAGCGATGTGTGGTGGTGCTTGCCTGTAATCCCAGTGACTTGACAGGCTGAAACAGGAAGATAGAAAGTTCCAGGCCAGCCTCAGCAACTAAATAATACTGTTCTCAAATAAAAAAATAATGTGGGTAAAAAGAATACAGCTCAGTGGTCGAGTGTCCCTGGGTTCAATCCCTAGTACCAAATAAAAATTTAAAAAGATATAAGGGCTGGGAATGTGGCTCAGGCGGTAGCGCGCTCGTCTGGCATGCGTGCGGCCCGGGTTCGATCC